ACCAGATAAAGTAGGATTCGAGGCATTGTAGATGTATGAAGTCTCATCAGGGTGCAAATACCACCAGTGTGGCATCCCAAACTTTGTCATCACAGCATAGCCTATCGAGCTGATTAATGAAATCAATACGAGAAAGGTAAAAAGAATGTATATAATCTTATCCATCTTCTTCTCGATTCGACTTCTCTTAGATGGTGACTGGGTAGCATTCTGCATGACTTTGTTGTCATGACCAGTGAAGATAACCACTCCGTATACATATGTAGTATTCCTAAGCTTTGAATCTCTAAGTAGAATCTGACTTGGGTCAAGTGCATAAACCTGCTGTTCATACTCAAAGTTACCTATGAAACTGTAGAGATTAGGGTTCGGGTCCTCACATCGAATGGTGGCTGTGAAGTTCCTGAAAGCTACATCATCATCCAGTGTTAAAGTTACCTCCAAAGATCTCTTGACCTTCAAATTCGTTTCTCCATCCAAATTCATAGTCTCAACATAGCATATGCCATCCTCATAACTCGAGGACAACAGAAGCAAGTCAGCAGGGAAGAACTGATCCTTCTCCACCTTCACAATGTCCCCAACACGAATCTTCTGCCAATGTTTATAACCAAAGCACCCCTCTCCCTTATGGACGCTAACCTTACGGCTATTAACCTTCACATCCTGCATGAACCTCTGCCAATCTTCCAGTGCCTCCTTAGCCATACTTAGTCCAACAACAAATGCGAGAGGGGCAATCATGCTCATAGCGGAGAACGGAGCCACAGGGGTGAGGGAGAGGGAAGCGGCAAGAAGAAAGTATAGATTGGCGACACGGCGGAATTGCTCAAAGATGGCTTTCGGGAGGAAAGTAATGATGTTGTACTTGGTGGTGCTGACAAAGTTGGTGGGGTAATTGAGGGGCTTCTTGCGGTGTAATCCGGGCTGGTTGCAATGGACGATGCGGGAGTATCCGGGACCTTGGAGGGTATGCGGTTGCTCGTCGTCTAACAACACAGTGGGGCGGGTGCATGCAAAAGTGTAGAGCTTGCTCCATCGGAGCCGCTCCTGACTACCTCCTCCACGTGCCATCTGTTCCTGGTTAGCTCAAATCAAACACCACTGTTCCTCATCATTTGGAATTGGATCTTTTTTCTCAAACTATTTCCCACAAGAACGAGCAGTGATTCACTTTGCAAAGTGATTGAGGAAATCAATAACAAGCACTTCAATATTGTACCGACGGGATGCAGAGATTCATCTGAAATTTCTCGGTAAAGAAGGCATTCATTATGGATATAGAAGATGACCAATGGCGGATATAATGAGCCAAATGCTTTCGATACAATGGCAAACACAGGAAGGCTTCCAGGAACGCCGACGCAGTGCAAAACTAATTCTGGGCTCAATGATTAGGGGAAAAAAGAGGGAAATTAACCAAACCTTGCAGCTCGAATTTAAATTTTTTGATCTGAAGACAGGGGATTCCGCAGAAATTCCTAAGAATTAACTCCCCATCCGTAGGTTGGGTCGGGTCATAGCACTTCCGACGGAAACAGATCGAGATCTCAGGCAGAAGAGATACAAAAGGCTTCCGCTCCGCATCAAGAGTTTCCCACTGAACCCAGATAACAAAGCAAAGAAAAGAGCAAGCAGTAGAGAAAGGGCAAAAGGGTTCAAGAACCAAATCAATACCACAACGAACGGAACCGATCAAAAATATCCGGATTCAGCTCCGGCGGAAAGGGAGAGGAAACCGCACCAGGAAAGGAGCGCCAGACTCCGGAAACGAAAGACTCGAGGAGAAGGACCGTTCGCCAAGGAATCTGCCCCAGGGTCTCACAATGAGAATAGGGACACGAAGGTAGAGATCGGAGTCGAGCGAGGGTTCCTCCCGCACACCCTCAGAGAGCACACGACCGCCGACGCCAAGGGCGAGAGAGTTGACGGCCTCGCTGATCGCGGTTAATTCTTGGCTTTTCTCTGCATTTTTTTTTATCGTGCATATAAAACAAATAAAATGAGATATCGTGAGGAGGAGGCCCCCTAATTTTAAAGTTTAATTGCGAATCCGACTGACGGGGTGAGGAGATAATTACGCGGTGGGTGAGCTGGATCTCGCGAGGCGCCTTTCCGAGCCCAGACATGATCCAGGCCCCGTGGCCTCGCATTTCAATTCGCGAGCCAGGTGTTTCCGTGTCAGCGGACACTTAATCGTGACGATGTTTTGAGGCAAGTATCCGATCCGACTTCATGTGGGAGTCAAAGACTGGTCCACCGCCGGTGCGAAGGGAACCGGATCCTCTGCAGGTACGGAAGCCCCGTCCTCATTCCCCATGCGTACTCCACGTCCATCTGGCTTTGGTGCTTTGTGATGCACGTGCAATCTCATTTACCTGGTGAGGCTTATAAAAAGCTTATCGAAGAATCTATGATTTCTTCTTGCCGTGTTCGCTTCCTTGCTTCATCCGAAGACGATAAATAAATTGTACTTGCACCAAATTCTTGGCCAATGGTCTCTTCCCTTCAGAATGTTTCTGAAGGATGGCAGGTCGAGGAAAACATAGTACGATGAATAATGATTAACGCAGCTCCCACATGGCAACATTCTAATTGTGTGTTCGAATCCAAAGTAGCAACGAGTTACCTGCTGGCTTAGGCCTTGGCAATGTTACGTCGGAGGGAGGGAGGCTTTGTTTACTTCGAGTTAAAGGCGAAAAAGGGAGGCTGTGTGAATAGATTACCTCAATCGTCGGGGTTGGTGTGGAATCAAATCAGCAATACCAGTCATGGACCATATGAAATGACATCCCAACCTTGTCCATTATGATGGCGTCATGGCCACTCGCTACCTCCCTCGCCATATTGCTTTTGCCGTCTACGATAAATACGAGCGAATGCCATTCCGCTACAAGTAATCGCACGAAGGTGACGGTCCTCGTTAATTTGTATTACTTGCTATGATGACGAGATTGCTATTCCAGCATACGACTCGGAAATAAATACATACTGTCACAGATGCATTGAGATGAGTGCGTCAGAAGAAAAAGAACAGAGAAGAAGGAACTTATGGCTCGAGTGATTTCCAATATACCTGTACGCCTTTTGCAAGCATGGCTGTTGCTTTCGAACCTCGGCCGCCCATGCCTTTTAGTTGTTTACGGATTCCCCCGGTAGATCTTTCGAACAGTGGAAAGGGTTGCAGAAGCAACAGGAAGACTGAAACCATGCATGCACATCGGGTGCGTGTCTTGTGTACCGAAATGACTGTGGAAACTAAAGCTCCAGTCTCGGCTTGCTTAGGTCTCGGAAAGTGAATGGTCCTACCGGGCGACATCATCATTACGAGCTTGAACATTGGGTGTCTAAGAGCATCAATGCAGACAAAGTTGGCTGAAGTCTTCTATGTCGTACTCTTCATGAGTGAAGTCAGATACCCGCACCACTTTAATCCCCACGAGAAAGAAGCATCTCTTTCTAAGAGGAGACAAAAGGAACCATGAGATCAAACTACACAGGATAGACTACGCATTTAGTGCGAGTCGCATTTGCTCGTGACATATTTAAATGCTGTACTGTGATTGCAAACATGGGTGGAGTTCTTTTACAGCCTTGGGTACGTACAGTAAGCACAGGCATGCAGTAACATCTGACAGAAAAGGTGAAGCTTAAGTATGAATCAGCTGAGTCAAGATGAAGGATCAAGTATAGACTTAATAAACAAAATGGTTAATATGACAAGAACATACAAATCCTAAAAGAGAAGCATAGACGCGAATAGACTTAAAAAAACAATTAAGAAATATAAATTTAAAACAAATTTTAAGTGCTAAATAAAGCAAGGGATGTTCTGAAAAGTTGGGAGGGGTGATTGGTATTTGCCTGGAGTCAATTGGGTTGGGCTAGGGCAGAAAACACCGATGGATTCGGTCAAAGCATTAATGTCACCTCTGGGTGTCAGTCCTTTGGCCTTATCAATCATGTTGTCATACGTAACATTGGCTGGTACAACCATGCACGATTTACTCCGTTCTGAGAATAGCTAACCATGGTTCATGTTACTTTTCTGAGTTGTATATTCCCATAGCGATTGCCATATGTTCAGGAAGTGCACCTGCTGCATAATGGAGTTCCACATCTAAAAGTTGCAGAAGAATATGAAAAACGAATACGTTCTCTATAAACAATGCAATCACAACCTGAGAAAGCATGGTAGATGGCTGAGAACATCACTGATGCTTGATTATTTTGGAGAAACTTGAGATGGTTTATGTTAAAGAGAGAGATTGATTATTCCTAAGAAGACATCGTAATAAGTGGTAGCTTGTTCTTGCAGGTTGATCCACTGATATCCTTTAATTGCTTCTCTACGTCGAGGACCATACCATATCCGGTCTCAAATCTGCCCAAACAGCAGTATTCTACAGGAAGGGTCAAATGCGATGGACAAGACTGTATGACAAGACGCAAATCCACTATACAGAAAATATCTCCTCACTGGGGAGGGCCATATCAAAAGCATCACTTTACCTCCGCACTGCACTTTAAGCACACGAGATGGTTGATGCTACTCAAAATCATTTAAGAATATCTGTCCTCTTTCATGCCAAAGAAAACGAAAGCAAACGTCTGTGTGGGTGTTTGCATAAGGTTGGTGAAGAATTAATTTTGCATGTCTTTTATCAAACATGGTTTTACAAAATCTATTTTCTATATAAGAAAGAGGATGATTGTTTTACCGATAAAGGCAACAAGTTCATACAGAGGCCTTCAGTCAAATTAATATGAGGTGTACAACATGGAGTGAGATGAGCTCAATGAAACTCTTATTAGAACAACTCGCAGGAAGAAGTCGGTGAACTATGGCCGCTGCTAACTTGCTTTCGTGGACTCGACCACCAGACGAAAAAGTATGTGTTATGTGAATCCAAAGCACGCAGCAAACATCTCACGACTGAGGACAACCGAAGTCACACAAAGCAGCAAATCAACACCACCGGATATGAATCCGACAAAGGACTCTCGTCCAACTCGAATTTAGCGAATCAAACCATCAATTACACTATAAACAAGTCAATGATTACACCAACCAAACCAATTCTTAATTACAAACACCACCACCATTGACGTAAACGCTACGGCCTACGCCCGCTTCTTACGACATCAGACAAGGCGTTTCCTGCGTTCTTATCCTCCACCCAATTCCAACCGGCCATGGCTTTCGCTCGCTCGTGAGGATTGCAGTAGAAGACAACCAAGACCAGTGGAAGGAAGGGTTAAAACGCATTAGAACAAAGATCCACTCATCACCATGCAGTACAAAGGACCCGTGCTTCTTCTCTTTTAGCCCTTTTGGTTTCCTCTTTCCTGATACGCTCCCTATTTACGGTGGAGACATGCACCCTTCCCCGGGAGGCAAGGATGAAGAAGAACTCTTACTCGATCCCCACAGATTACTTTTAGAAAGTTACAGAGAAGGGAGAAACAAAGAGATGGGAGGAGAACTACAGCATTACCCTGCGTCGGCTCCACCATCAGACTGGGACACGCGTCAGATGCGGAGGGCGCCGGCTTCGCGGAGCATGGGGACGAGACCACCGCGGAGGTGGAGGCCCATGAGGCCCTCGAGGCCGCCCACGGCAACGCCGCCGACGAAGAGGGCGGGAAGCCCGCCGTCCCCCGCCGCGGCAGCGGCAGCCTCTTCGTCGGCCTCCTGCAGCTCGATGGCCGCTGGGTGGGCGCCCACCACCGCCAGCAGCCGCTTCATGACGTGGCTCATGCAGCACTCCCGCCGGTTGAAGATGACCGCGGGGTTCTCCCTGATCAGCCGCGCCACCCGCACCTCCGGCGCCTCATCCGCCCCGTCGATGGACAGCACAGCTGTCCCCCTCTTCTTCCCCCTCGCCACCGCTGCCGCCACCGCAGCCATCAGATCGCCTTTCTTCGTCCTCCCCTTTTGGTTTTTCGTTCTCGGAGATCGACGAATCGATCAATGCAAAAGACACAAACATCGCGTATTTATAAAGCAAACAACGCTTGGAGACGCTCACGTCATCGAAACGGCGATCGTAACGGTGTTGTCAGCACCCCCACAACAACTCGCGCCCGATGTTACTCGGCACACGGCCACGGTGAACCGGCAGCTGACGTCATAACCTCATCGGATAGCGATCGCTCGTCGTAAAATTGGGTGGGCCCGGCAGCCGGCTGCACGTGGACGCCTCAGTTGCCGCAGACGCGAATCGGTGCACTGACAAGAGGGAAGTCAGTGGCCGCCGAAGATAAGGCCACTTTTTATGGGCGGGACGTCACCTCCTCGCGAGAAGGCGATTGCTCGACGGAGGCCCACTCTCAGCGACGGCTACGATCTTATGGGTCGCGTTGATGCGGAGCACCGCGTGCTTCTCCACCCGGTTATAGTCTCACCCACCTCGCGTCTGATTCTCCACCACGCGGGTTACATATATAATTCTGCACCCAAAGCGTGAATCAGAAGTAGCAAAAGGAAGAAGTTGGTACTGTCACAGTGATCCCACAGGTACCGTACCGAGAGAGAGAGAGAGAGGCGAAGATGGCGACTGTGATGGATGACGTGCGTTGACTCGGATGCAACGAAGCCATTGGGTAAGAGTGCTAAAGCGGTGTCTGCCACGTCCTACGGAAGAGCTCGGCAGCTCCTCCCAAAGTGCGTCCGAGAATTGAGGTGCACAAATCCGGTGCCAGAAGGACTAATGGCTTCCAGTGAGGGGGTCAAATCGGAAAGCTTGTCAACGAAGTGGAGAGAGATCGTGGTTCACAGCCCACACTGCAAATGATGTTGTGTCTCGTATCTCAGACTGGGTTATGTGCACTGAATTCCAGAGACAAAACCAATATAGTATTCATTTCTAAAAGAAAAGTTGTTTCGAGAATGAAGAGAGTTCATGATCGGAGTTTATGTTTGGTAAGATGGGCTATAGACGCATTCAATATCGGTAATATCTTTTCTCCTATAAATAGGAAAAGGACACATTAATATATTTAAAATAAATTTTTTTTAATATATTTAAATTATTGGAAGCAAAGATACTTTCCTCTTGTCTCTAAGATTTCTCGGGTATCGTTCAATGTGGAAGAAGAAGTAGGCGGAGGCCAAGGCGATGCAACTGCATATATGCATTCGACCAATTCCCTTTACGTGGTGTTGGCGGATCAGACATCTACATAAAATCTAACTACATTCAAGCCAAGATTTGAGAGAATTTAGTTTCATAAACGTGAAATGTAATGTGGCCCATACTATGATTTTAACGATGATTTAATAAATGACTAGGAAGACGAACAATTGTAAAGATGCGACTCTTCCATAGATGTTTAGATATTAGTTCTGAATTAATAAATATTTAAATTTGATTTGAATTATGGTATGCTTTTATAATGGATCGTTACTCTGAATCAATGTTTTAATGGAAGTAATCGTTTCTATCTACTCCCCATTACCATATTTTCATTGATAAAGAAAAAACTAAGGAAGAGAAACTAGAATTTTATTTATGGTTTTTTTAAGGATCCCTTAAGCCATCTATCGATGGATCAAATTATAAGTTTTATTTATGCACGATAATATTTTTATTTGTGCATGAATTTAAGTTTTTACCCATAATACATTGGTTAGATTATCACATGGAAGGCTTCGGATCTGCGAATGACACGAAGCTTGACGCCATGCTTGAAGTTGAGGACGACGCCATATTGGAATTCCAAGGGAGATTCCATGCTCGGGGAGTGTCTGAATACATAACGGCGGTAGAGATGTATGACCGCCAACTTGATCTCCTGCAACGAGAACTTCTGCCCGATGCATGCCCTGGGTCCGATTCCGAAGGGGATGTGCGCATACGGATGCCTCTGCTTCTCTTCGTCGCACGCCGGATCAAACCTCTCGGGCCGGAACAAGTGGGGCTCCGGGAAGTGCTTTGGGTCCTTGGCCAAGACTCCCGGTGCCATCCAAACCCATGTACCCTGCAATCGTTTCACAGATATATATAGATCGATCCTATACATATATTCCTCTGATGTTTTGGATTAGGGAAAAGAAACAGCATCGCAGTCGTGAATCTTCGGTTCTGAGCAATCGTGCGTCTTTCGCACCATACCATACCTTGGGGAGGAGAAAGCCACCGACCTCGACAGGCTGAGATGTTTCTCTCGCGACGAGCGGAGACACCGTGTAGAATCTCATCGCCTCTTTTATGACCTGCAACCGAAAGATTGAAGCGCACTTTCACGAGTATAATTAAGGAGCATCGTAGTAAGCTCGCAGGCAGAGTCAATGCAAGTTTCTAAGCTGATCCAACATGAAGGAGTGGGTGAGAAAAAGGTCCCAGTTTGCGGAGGTGAAACCTGATCGAGGTAGGGGAACTCGTGCTGCAGGTCATCAAAAGTCGGAATCAGATCACTCGGGCCGAATCCATCGATCTCCCGTAGCAGTTTTTGCTCGACTTCCGGATGCTCGGAGACGAGGTAAAGGACCGACGACAGCGTGAAGGAAGTGGTGGCTGAGCCGGCGAGGAGATGCTCGTAAGCGAGCGCGCTGATGTAATCGGACGTGAAGAGCTTCCTCGATGCTCCATCGGAGTCCCTGGCGTTCAGGATAGCCGACAAGAAGTCCTTGGAGCCTCTGGCCCGCTCGGATGCCCTCTTGGCGACGATCTCCTCCAGTCTCTTGCTCAGCTTTAGGTTCGTCTGGTGTATCTTCCAGTCGGCTGTGCCAGGAATTCTTTTCAGGAGCTGCCGGACTGGCTCTTGGAGTACAGGAACGAGGAGGCCCAGCACGATGGAGAAGGAGCCGGATAGATCCATCTTGAGGGAGGTGGTGGAGTATATATGCTCTTTGATGAACTCAGAGACTTCGCCATCTTTGCTACGCTCGCCATCAGGTGGGCTTCCTCCGGAGAGGCCAAAGTCGACGCCAAAGGCGGCTTCACCGATGACATCGGTGGCGAGTCTGAGGGACAGGTCGGAGAAGGTCACGTCGTCTTTTTGGGTCGAGGAAAGGTGTCGTGTTGCGGAGTCGATGTAGGATTGCATGGTGGGGATCAGGCCGGCCAGGTGCGTGGGTTGGTAGAGGGAGATGATGGTGTTTCTCATAGCAGACCACCTTGAATCCCTGCAGTCAAGGCAGTTCAACTATTTTGAGTGGCTCGGTGGTGGCGGAATAGCTTGGATGGTGGCTGCTGCCTACTACCTTGTGAAGAAAAGGCCCTTCTGGTGGAGAGGCGATCCAGAGATGGGAGTAGGCAGGCTTCGATTGGGGACGCTCTTGAACTTTTTGATGCCAACCTGTTTGCACAGTTCTGGGTCAGCAACGATCACCATCGGCTGCCTCCCCATATGGAACCTTTCACAAAGCAAAACATGTGAGAGAGTTCGATCAGATTATGCGCCATTCCACAACTCCAATCTTAACTCGCATAGGACCTCATCATCTACTCCCGCAAGCATATACAGATTTTATGATATCCAAGCATATATGGATCTCCGAAACGTAGTAAAATCACAAAACAACGACAGAGGAGCAGCCCACACACCTGAAGACGGGACCGTAGGTCTGAGCTAGAACGCTGAACACGTCCGGTCCATGCTTTGCGAGCAAGGGAAGGTGGCCGAGGAGGGGGATCGTCGGAGGCCCGGGCACCTTCCTCACTCCCCAGGACGGTGCATACAAGTACATCAAGAACCCAACCAGCAAGGCCACCAAGGTGAAGGCGTACTCCGCCCATCCAAGCGTAATAGTAGTACTACCCATCTCCATGTCACAATCGACAACCGAGCTGGAGAGAACTCTCTTACACGATGCTCTCTGGCGTCACAAACAAGCTCTAGCTCTCAGAACATCGAGTTGTTCATCAAGACTGACTGGTGCACTGCAATGCAGCACCAGGATCCCAAACATGGAAGTGGAGAAATCATCACGACATGGAAACCGAGAAAAGGTTAGAAGCACCACTAGTCATCGTCTTGTACCGAGATGATGTTCTCCGTTGAAATTAATAGGAGGGAAGATGCTGGGTATCATCGAAAGCAGAAGATACCTTGGCATCGATTCTGTCGTCATTCACCTCGGATCACTTTCGGAGACAAATGTTTAAGATATAATATGTCGTGTAGTGGCAGCATCCACCGAGGCGTAGCTTTCAACTTGCATCTGCGTGCGGCCATAAAAAATTCTCGATGTTAAACACTATTAATATCACGAGACGTATGCTAAATGTTTCGTAAGATTGTTTCTGAGAGGACATCGGGGTCGGCCGGGGTGGTGACCCATCGAACACCAACCGACAACCTACCCGTTAACTTGGGTGCTTCCCTAACCATTGACCGAGTAACAGGCGATCGCCCACTGATAAATGATAACATTGCATCGAAGGTTAAGAAGGTGTGATAAAAAAGAGCAGCACAAGAACTACCGATCGATCACCCTTTGCCATGTGCAGCACAAGAGCTTGGGTTTCTCAAAAATCATGTCAACAGTGGAGTATGTGTCTAACACTTTCAATAATGTTCTATACAAAAGGGTATAAGATCTTTAAATCGACCGCCTTCGCAAAGGATATCTAGTAAAACTACATGTGCCGAGTCAGGTATAAACTTTTCTTCGAAGAACTCTACGTGTTCACTTTCCTGTTCATCACGTCATGGTAGTACAAGAGGACACACATTGGTTGTCCAAGAATGCAGAAGAAGAACCAAAATATCATGTTCCCAACCTGCCAATTTTCGATATATGTAAAAGTAGTCAGTCTTTTTTTTTTTTTCCCTTCTTTTCTTCTGTTCGTTCTTACCTTTGCTTGCAAAAAAAGATTCAAACAAAAACGAGAAAATGGCACGGATCATCTCTAAGATTTTAAAGCGGAAACACATGATGAAAAACCATGAAAGTAAACATACCATTGTACTCTTGAATTTATTCTGGAGGTAGTTTGTCAGGATGACTAACGGGATCTGCCCAAAAGAAAAAAAAAACAATAGAAAGCATTTAGTGAAAGATAGCATCATTCATTCTTCAAGTATTAGGCAAAAGTCACCCATCTTTGACCGGCCATAATAAGTAGTTTGTTGGATGTTTTCTATAGAAAAAAGCAAGTACTATACTCTTCCGATTTGTGCGTGAGGGGCGATATATAGTGTCACGTTAGAGAAACAGAACCTAAATCATCAATATTGGGTCAAGATAATAAAAGTGTTAATAAATTGCCCCTCTTTCACTAGATGCATTTATTTAATTCATTGTTTTTATTTTTATCTAAAAATAAGAATAAAACAAGTGAAAAAGGAACAAGGATGCGCACATGAAAGGGTCAAGTCATTACTCTAAACCCACCATCGATTGCTATTGGTGCCATGGACAAATTGTGCTGTGCCGGTCGATACATCCTTGTTCTAACCAACATGGCTCGACAAGGCAATCCTTGTACAAAGTGACTTTCCTTCAGCATTGTTCTACAATAGTGTTGTACTGAGAGCAAATGACAAGACTAAGAAGCTACCTTCTACTATATCCCAATTGCCTCAACCTTTATGTGGAAGCCACTGTGTGAGTGTTGCTAATGCTAATAAACATTTTAGGAATGAACTTCAAAAAAGTGGAAACAAATACAAATACTCAAAGATAAACTTATAATGGTTATCAGACTATTGCCACAGTAAACCATATATCCATCCCTGCTGGGGCTTGATAAAGATATTTTTTTTGCTAAAGCATCTCAATGGCAGCCTGTAAATAATCTTATCTTGCACAATTTTTCAGATTTAATATTATGCAAAAGCATGGAATTACTGCACTTGGTTTTGAAAGATGGAGTGCGTGCTAATTGTAGTTCACCCTATTATAACAGAATCGGAATTCATCTCAACACTAAAGGCAAATAATTTCCATGACTTTTTTTTGTCATGATTTCATTATCAAACAGGAAATCAGATTGCAACAGTGCAACAACATCAAGAAGAAGCCATAATGTCCCAACTATTTGGTTGGCTACATGAAAGTTTTGTCACTGAGCTAAATTGGATTCCAATAATGCATTAGTAACCACAAAAAATCACTCACAAATAAAGCACAAGTTTAATAGATTTCTAGGATAAGTAAACACCATTTTGATAATTTTGTACCTGAAACATTATTCCTATAAATGCCCAAAACTTGAATATGTGGCATGGAACAGAACCACACAGCTGCAAAAGTCAAATTGTTTCACAGATAATTAAGATAATGGTAGAGCAAATAACTAATCAACTCTGAAACTTTCAAGACAATTTAAGCAGGAGATAGTGGCAAAAGCAAAAGCAAAAGATAAGATTTCTCAAAAAGATGCTACTGCACAACCGTAGAGGTGAGATAACAATTAAACATCAGAACACTGCTCAAAACACTCAATAAGAGACATGTGCTAAATAAGAGCACATCTAGGTGCTATGCAAGGATTGCCATACCAATCAGCATCTGCCAAACCACGTCACATGTTGAATGGTGATATTATGCCATGCATGGTTAGGCAAACTTTTGACCTTTGTTGACTAGCACAATACGGTACTTAACCTTCCCTGCCATGAGAAGGAAATCCTCTATCATGGATAGGCCTAGGGCTGAGGATTCCACATGAAATCACGAAGCAGATGACCAAACATGACACCGGACACAGTGAATGAGTAAATTTTCTGAAAAACTAAATGCTTGATGCTGTAGCATCGCCGCAACATCATCCTTCAAAGCTGGTTGAACCCGTATGGATACAATTTGATCGCATATATGGTAGTGCATTCTTATAGTGTATTATCTAGGCACTACCATATATGCGATTAGATGACAGAATGGATGATGTGCCATGACAACTCAACACTAATAAACAAATGCTTCAAAAAGTTAAAATTACAATACCAATGGGAAACCATACAAAATCTTAATGTCCAATGTTAAATGAACCATGTCGGAGCAATTTTATGAATGAAGTCTAATTCATCCTTCTTTTTTCCACTGTTTTTATACTGATTTCAAAAGAACCAAATAAACTGGCAAACAGCTCAATATTGGCAGTTCCTTCTCTTAGCTTGCCCTTCAGGCAAATACCAGATATCTTACATTCCCAGGTCAAATGTAGTTCAACACGTAAACACCATCTTATCCGATAATAGAATCTGTGCAAGCATACTGAATAAATTTACTTATGGGTCCAACCCTAAATTTACTGAAGTCAGACCTCAATTCTGGAGATCTGACAAGAAAAGTATTGACGCTGACCATAGCCATCTATAGTTCTCCAACCTATATGGAGACATTTACTAATTTCAAGAATCAAGTGCACATTCATGTGTAAATTCAAAGGTGTTTCTGCAGCAATAAAGACGTGTGAATTTTGAACTGAACTTGGGTAAAAACATAACTGAATAAACTGAACTTGTTGAGCTAAAAGCTTTCACCACTAGGATATCTAATCATAAAACAGTGAAATATATTAAAGAACAAATAAAACGAAAGAAGAAAATTCACTCAGTAGTTCAGAAAAGCAAATGCAGTACCTCATGAAATACAGCAGAGACGAAGAAGGAAATGAAAACAGCAACTCCCTGGGATGAAATATTACAAATACAAAAATCACAAATTAAAAAGAAAAGAATGACTTGGTTTCAACAAATCTTGTACCAGATCAAACTTGATAGCTGAAGACAATAAAGAATATAACTACTCCACATATTCTGCATTAAGGCATCAATTCCTCAAAAAAGTTATCCACAAGCAAGATCCAATGCAAGTCAAATTTTCACATCATCAGTCCTTTTAGAGGAAAATAATTTAACATTTTCACTTACTGTATGTCAGTTGAATATAAGCCATGTAGCCAATTATCTGTCGATACTTTAGATATAGAGGGACAGGAATCATAGTAGAGAGATGGGAGGGGGGAAGTGTTCTTAACCAATCTCCTAGGATTTTGGTCTAATTTTCAGATATCATCTCCATTTGCCAAAAGATAGTCTCAAACAAGACAAAAAAACAGTAGCTACACTAGAAGCATTATTAATCTATGTTTATTAAATTTCCTTCACAAGAATTAAGCAAGCATGTGTTGATGGATCATAATAGAGAAAATAAGGCAACTAAACCAAGACTAGGGGTCATTATCTGAAAGCAACATCAGAAACATTACCTTTGGTAAGCCATTGCGTACGCAGGGAAGGTATATATGGCGAATCATCCATTTATGGACAGGCTGTATATGATCAGAAAATGATTATTTAGAGCAGCATTACTACAAATACTAGTAAGTATCATGTTTATGAAAGATATAAGCGACATAAAGGCATCAAATTCCAGACAATACCAAAAAGTAAAAAATATGCCTGTGAATAAGAAAATCGCTTTATAATATCTGATTGCTTTTTCTAGTCAATATATCTAAATTCAAAAACCACTACAAAAAAAAAGGTGAATACAAACAAAAACTGTCCACTGTAATTGATGGAAAACCTCATAGATAAGCTTTGAACTTGGCAAACCTCATTAACAATAATATGATAAGTTGTTCATTATTGTCTCAAAGGACAACACTGCACACAAGATGAATACTATAAGAAGTGTCTGTTTAATTTTATACATGTAGTAACTGTAACAAGAATAAAGAAAATTCTATTATTTTATTTTAGTAACAGTAACATGATGTCTTCAATTGAATTGATTCATGGAACTACAGAATTGCTATTGGAACTTATTCTGTAGGTCTTCAACAAATGTGATTAAAATAAAGCCAAAAAAATTTCAACATGTCTGCATGAAAGATGAGAACATAGGAAGCCAGTATGTAACCTAGCAGAAGACCCTATTGTCCATAGATACAAAACAAATAACAATGTAACTCTTAAAATGCAAAGTCTGTCTTCTATCATGAAGGACAAGTAAAATTATGCTCTCAGAAGAAACATTTTTTCAACTTATTTGTAGCTAAGGTATGAACTAGCATGTATGTAACTTAAAGGCAAGAGATGTACCATGTTCCACATTCTCCAATACTGGTGCAGTCCCAATAAAGTGCATGCAAATAACAGACAAAAAGAAGGGATTAAAAATTGTTGATACTAGTTTATTCTACTCTACGATCTGTAAAAGGGTAAAATTAGTACACATCATAACGTACCTCTTCAACTGTTTTTGCATTCCACCAATCTTTGTAGAACTCACGATCACCAAAACAGAGGAGCTCAGCAAGAATATTTAGCCTGCATAGGGAAGACAGCCCTTTTTCTAGTTCAAGATGTAACTATTTCAACTCATGTAATCTTGAACAGTTTCTATATAGAAAAAAAAACACACACTAAAAAATGAATTCATTAGTAATTTATAAGATTTATCTGAATGTTTTGTCCATTGGTCCACAATCAATTACAAAAATAAGGAGATTTTACATTAAATAAGAAACATGTTTATAAAGTAGATTTTTCATGTTTTATCTGTCAACATTTTTTCTAAGGAAATTTTATTTGAAAAGTAAGAAAAATATTTTATAATATCATAAAATCCAACTTACCATAGATGAAAAAAGCAATAGAACATGCAAAGCCACACGTACAAAGTTGGCACCGACAACTTCAACACTCTTTCTATAGCAGACAGAAGATTCCCTTTCAAAGGGTGTTCAGAATTCTTGACGATTGGGTTGATGTACTGCAAAAAGAAAAGAAAAATCTACTCATCGAATGTAATGTATTAGAAGAAATTATGTAGAATAAATATATATAAGAACACTTACTTGCTCGATAATGAAGCCCATTAAACCTGTACAGATCACCAATTTAACAAGCTGACGGATCACCCAACCCTTTCTAATGCACATTGTACGAGGATAATTTTGCTACATAATATGCGAATTATCAAATTCTGTATCAGAGGAGCTGCTTACTAATCAAGCTTTGTACTCAATGGAATTAATAGATCAAGCCAAAAGATTGCCTGTCAGATGTAAATGCAGACGACATAATACTGATCTAGTAGCAAGCAAGCTTAAACAAAAAAGTCAGGAAATACTATCATACAGATAGAAAACAAACAAGAAAATTTTGGGAATCTATCTGGACTGCTCAAATAATGTTGACCAAGTAATGAAATTTGAGACATATAGGATGAAATATTGTATGTATACAACAACTAAAAATCTAATTCCCAACAATCTGGGGTCACATAAGATCTTCTCTTCTTTTTCTTCCTCTTCTAAGGTCTCTAATCTGAAGTAATTCACCTTTCTTATCCAAGTACATAGTACTTCGATCTACCTATGATCCTAAATTTATGCTTAATGGAAGCCAACTCTAACATATTGCAAATGCAATTATTCTGAAAGAAAATTTGCTTACGGCATGTATGCAGTGTGTATATCCCTAATATAACATACATCAATCACTATAATGAAAACACCAAATAATCTACGGAAACCCTTTTCAGTTGTATTGTTGTAGGATCAAGCTAAGCATAGCACAAACTGTAGATAAAATTCTGGAAAAAATCAATCAAGTAGATATTCACAAAATTAGGAGGTAAACTAAAGTGCAGGTTCAATTCTTATCAAATAATATGTAATATGGGATTACTCTTGAAGGAACTTCTATTCTTAGAAGACTGATATCTTCTTTTCCGGTCATTCAGACTTACAACTAAAAGAGAAGAAAACTCTCATCTAAAGTATCCCATTCTCTTTGATTTCCTGTTGCAAGACTTACACCTTAAGTACCCACCCATTATGTGTGGTTTGTTTAGCTAAGGCCATCATCAGTCTAAATTTTCTGACTATCCAACCAATCATTTGCTTACAAAACTAAGAACACATGATCTATGTGAAAGAGTATCTTCCACAGAGCCATCATAATCCATGATCACTATCTCAGTCTCATTCTGATGAGAAAGGGAAATATTTTGCCTTTTTCTTCTACTTATATACATATAAAGATTCTTCGTCGAAATAAGGTTCTTGATATGGTATGAAATTATGAATCACAATTTGGTTTATTTTCATCACACGCTTCCACTTGTATGATATAAAACAGTTATAACAGATTTTTAAGGAAACAGAAAATAGGTGACTAATTCAAAGTTTGCACAAAAGAATAAACAATATAGATCTCATGGAAAAGGGAAAATAGAACTAGTTGTACCCAAAATAGAACTAGTAACCAGATTAACAAAGCAGAAAAAGTGCCCAATTGGAATACCTGATAGCAAAGTGTGGGAGCTACCATGAAGTCCACTAATTGTTTGAAGCTAACACCTTTCTCAAAATCATGGCCTGAGAAGTTGAAAGATGCATCCTCCTAAAAATAAGAGAAAATTCTTGAGAAGCACCAAGGGAAATGTTAACAAGCTGAGCCCATGTTTCATCACATGCTATCAAATAAAGATGCAGCAAGAAAACAAAAACAACAAAAATAAAATGCTGAACATTAATTCAAACCAAGAAACAGAGAAAAAAAGGAACCATATCATTTCTCAAAAAATAAAAAAAGATACATTCTTAACTAAGAGTAGAGGCATCCTAATCAACCCAGGAAAGAGCAAATCAAAATAATATACAACAATAAAAATGTACCTCACTCCCACAAATTTTGGACTCTTGCAACATAGATCTTTTCATACCAGTAAGATCAAGAAAAGCTTGCACAAAGAAAACTAAGATGAGTGTCGCAATGGAGCTTCATATTATCACCAAGTAGCATAAGCAAATATCCTCACCAACAACAGGAAGTCATATTTTGGTCTCACAAGTCATCGATCCATCAACTGAACTCCATATTATTACCAAGGAAGTTTGATCCCTCGATTTACAGCTCTTATTCACACACCCCCTCTTCCCTCACCTACAAGCTCTGCTCCGCCATCCTATGTAACCTCTTCCTCTGGTCCTTCCCCACACATACAGAAAAACAATTCTAGAACCTTCACGATGATTATCTAAATATTTTCTCATCAAATAAGGTTACCAAACAAGGACAAACCATAATCAAGAAGGCATTCTGGAAGATTTGGCATAATGAACAACTGGCTGTCGACACTCAAAACTGAGAAAGCATATGGAAGATTTGATAAATTCGTATTACCAGCTAACAACCTGACATCAGCCCATCAAAGTTAGTGCCAAATCCACAAGCCAAGGTGAAACAAAGCAACAAAAGGCACTAAAGGAACTATATCGCGAGAAAATTGACATCTCAAAATGGCCTTTCTTTTATACTATAGGCAATTATTTTAGAAATGTAATTAGAACGATCATTATCAGCGAAACAAATATTCTCTGATTAGGATCTCCTTCCTAATGAAAATAAGTTACATCAGTTTAACCCTCTGATTAGGATTTTACTTTGAGCAAAATTAATAAACCTGAACGGCTGAACCATAGGCTAGACTCATACTGGACATAAGAGGTATTGCGTCACAACGAAATACTTGTTAAGTTCTTGTAGTTATTCAAACAAAATTGTTTTGTCCAAAATACAAATGAAACGCTCAAATCAAGTTGTCCTTAAAGGTGATTACTTCGCATGTTCTCTCACAAGAACACCATAGCTAATAACATGAACCAACAATCAGCTGCATTAAGCAGCAATAAGACTTAAGAGTATCTTGCTACTTTAACAACTGAAATGCAATTTTATGTTTAAAGATGATAAGTTACCTTATCAGAAGATTTGACAATTGTTCGCATATCATAATTTGTATGCGCGAAGGACACAAGCTTTAACCAAACTATGCATGCAAAGAACATCAATGTGAAGCCAGATAAAACTGCAGAATCACACCTGCAGATTATTCGCATCAGGTATAAGAAAAAAATCAGACAAATCATTGATGAACTAGGAAACAGTTAACAATATTATGACTATTTAATTACTTTGCTGATATATTAAGATATATGTATAGATATTTTGAAATTTCTGAAAAAATCAAATCAGACTAAAAGAAGTATAGAACTACTACAACCACATAATATATAATGCTCAAGGGACTATATGTAAAAGAGCAAACAATACAATATTGAAAAATTTAAAAAAAATACAACAAGTCAACAATATTAAACTATCAAAGTAGAGGTATTGTATCTGCAAGTAACATGTGGTTTGTAAGTTTTACATAGAATACATAATATTTGTTTTGTAAAACAAAGTTGCCTGGCTTGCAGATTATCATATCAATAGCAGATATATGAGCATGCTTTCTTCACTCCTCAAAAATTAGCTTCAGAACCTTGCAAGATGACTTAAAAACAAAAATAATTTGCACAAGAGAATGGGAAGGTGAGAACCCTTACCTAAGAATTACATAAACTGGATAAGAAATTGCAGTGGTTGTGCACATCACATGAAGAGAGATAGCTAACTGCATATAATCAAGGAGAGGATAATAAGAAAAACAAACGGAAATATACATCAAAATACATAAACTTGATCACACTTCAATTTCAAAGGTCCAACAATTGATCCTGATAAAGCAAATAAAAAAAGGGGAGTCATTTCAGAACCTACTTACTGGTTCTGCAATAAACTTGTGCCATGCTAGTTTTTCAATCAGGAATGCACCAAGAGAGAAAAGGGGCAGCGTAAGGCTGGAAATTTAATGACGTCAGATACAATTTACAGTTGTACTAGGAAGTAGTAGCGGTGGCTAGTTAAAAGAATTACCAGCACATCAAAAGTGGCCAATCTCTCAGTGATTTCGAACTGAACCAAAACCCAGCCCTTATAAGAAGACCATACTGCAAAAGGAGAATTACATCAAAACTTTCTATGAACTCTTGGATCTTGTACAAATATAGATATGCTCACAAAAAGGGGAAAAACACATAAGGCACACACAATAAGATCATAGCTACAAGTATAAAATCTAGAAAAAAGAGAATAAGTTGAATAGTGGTTCTATTAAGCTAAAAGGTAGAACAAGAACCAACCTTCATCAAGTTCTCAATGATAAGCCTTCCATTAACTGCGATCAGCACTACTATACAGAGGTTAAAAAGACCTGCATGGCTCTGTCATGAAACAGAGACGTATTTTGAATAAAAGCCAAGCATAACAATGCAAATTAAGAATATAATCTCATCAAGCGCCACAAAAAGACAAGATCTATTTCCATATTCAGAAATCATTGAGTCAAATTCATTCAAATTACTAAAAAGATCACAGTATGCCAGCATGCAACATGAACCACAAGATATGTATCATTAATAACACATCATTCTGTAAAAATGGGGATTCATGTGAGACTTGGACACAATAAGCATGGTGAAATAGACCACAGAACAAGATATCAGACATAATTTAATACAAGATATCCCCACTAAAGGAAGAACTAAAGTACAAGGTAGTTCTAAAATTTGTCAGTTGTGCTCTTTTTAGATGGCATATGAACCTATACACTGAAATTTGAGCTAAAAAAGGAATAACTACATAACTAATTTCAGAAAAGGCGCTTCATGGATACTACTGACATTCTAGATTGTAGAGTTTCTTTTATGATTTAAATCACTAACAAGTACTTTTGCAAAATAATGATTTGGAAGAACGCTCAGCTTCCCAACAAACTAGGACGGAACCAAAACCATAGCTGAAGAGGGGCCAAGTTTAGACGAATAATCAGATAATATCAAATATTATATGATAAAGAAGTATTAAATAAATTATCTAAGAAAAAAAGTAAGTAAAAGGACTACACAGAGCATGGAACTACAGTTGTCTATAAATTGTTTCTTTAAATTATATACCTGAATCTAAAGATGTTGGTATCAACGATTATCGAGATAATCCACCTTTTATTTTTCAGCTTGATTGTATGGTAAAAGAGCTCACATAGCTACCGTGAAACGTGAAAGGTGTGGGACTCTCTATTGCTTGTAAGAATTAACCTACAATTAATATTCCGAGGTACAGACACCAGCCACTCAACTGCATCATATATCCGCACTCTAAAAAATTTTACAGATGGCACCTCGGATTCATTCTCGGAAAAATTATGTCATACACAACGCGCTAGGGTTGGAAGTCCAGAACAACCAAATCTTCAAATGAAAAGCTTTCGAAAAGGTAAAGAATGAACGAAAACTCAGAACCAGAAGTTCAAAAGCACACAAACAGAAACATGCAAAAATTGTTAATAGCAAAACATAATGTTGCGACTACATGACAACATGAATGTCGTAGACTGGATCTTGAACGAAAAGCTAATAACACACGTCTACCCAACTTTCTCGAATCGGCGCCAAGGACTTGATCGCGGCCAAATCTAACGGAAACCCAATCAAGAACAAGGCTTACCTGCCTGAAGATCGCATCCGAACTCAAAGGACTCTCCTTCACTTTTACGTGCGCCGGCGAGGACGCCCGATACAAGAACTGCGGCGGAACCGTACCTCCCACTCCCAGCCCCTCGCTCCTGCGACCCCCATCCACGTCCTTTTTGCCCGTCGACATCGCTGGCCTCACGTTCTCCTCTCCGTCCTCGCCGCCAGTCACCCGGTGGTACTCATCCGCATCGGAACTGGTCTCAACGCCGGACTCCTCTCCGGAATCGGCGGTCGAGGCCTCGAAGGCGGGAAAGCTCGTCGTCGAGGAGTAGTCGGCGGTGGCAGGGGCGGGGGAGGAGGTGCGGCGGCGGCGGCGGAGGTCCGAGGAGGGCGGCGAGGGCTCGCTCGATCGGCCGAAGGTTTGGGTTTCTCCATCCCCTGAAATCGCCATCGGGGATAGAAAGAGGAATCGGCTTACACGTCCCTCTCTTGCCGACGGCCTTCGCAGGGTTTAGAACATAAGGAGGGAGGGCGCGAGAGAGAGGATGGAAGATCCCCGGAGACGGAAATAGATTATTGCATTACGTCGTCCCCCCCGATTTGGTAGATTAATACGTGACGAAAACTCGGTGGCTCAGAATCGAAAGATTAAATAGAATTACATTTCTAGTCAAAATATAAAAATATTTAAGTATACTGCTTAATTTACCATTGAGAATAGGTAGCGTCCGTGCATAGGGGTAAATATAAAATTCACGGACTTGGGAGGGGTATATATGCATTTTCGTAAATACGATGAAATCTTCGCATACCAGAAATTTCCCTCCAGAGCCTACCGTGTGGGTCCCCTGCCAGAGATTTTTCGTTGACGCGTCGCGGTAGAATTCCGAGGATGTGACGCCGACTCTCATGTTGAGCGCCCGTGAGGAAGCTATCGACCGGTGACCCGTCGACTTCGGATGGAGACGTGGCCGCGACATGTTTTGATGGGGATAATTTAATATATTAAATTTAAATTATTATTAAAATAATTAAATCTTTATATGAATGTTACATGATCGATCGATCGATCGATCGAATCAAAATGAAGCCATTCCACCAACTACCTACAATCACGTACGAAGAATTCAACCCACCCCTCCCCACGCGTAACCATAAAATTGATGTATCGGTGGGTGTACAATTGTGTTCCGTGGGTGGGATCGAGATCCATCTGATCGATGGGAGTCCTTTGAGATGGGGTTATTTGCACGTACTTTGATGCAATTCATATCAGGACTTTCGAGTCCACCAGAGTCACAAAGTCCAACATATTTTTGTGTGCTTTTTATCGTGGAGTGGGAACGATTTATTGAAGAGTCCAGAAATCAATATGGGTTTTTGCGATGTTGTGGGCCCAGGTGTCATTGTTCGGTGTTGTAGAAATGGGGATGTCTGTTGGAGTATCTGAAACCCTTCACCTCGAAGCAATCTTTTGCTAAGTAATTGTTTCCTATATACTTTTGATCGCAGTCTTTTTGTCAAGTAATTATTTAATCGTAATATCAGTCAACCGTCGTCGAGATAGTGGACGACGGTATATTTTGTTGGGTGAATTGGGAGATATCTCCATCTTTATTTTTGGTCAAAAAGATATCTCATGTTCCGCATAATCCTAAAATATCAATTCTACATTGTATAAGATTTATATTGTTATTTATATATCTTATTGGCACCTCCAATAAAATACTGTAAGTCTATTTAAATACGTGTAAATAAATTCAAAAATGCTATATGTTAGTGAATAAAAGCACCGTGGTCGATGAGTTAACACGGTTAGGTCCGTGGGTCGATGTCAGGAGTTTCTTGCGGAGTGAGTGGGATGATGAGGTGGCCATGCTCTTGGGAAGGAATGTCGGTCGGCATTGGTCGGGATCCGGGCCGGCTCACTGCTCTCTCTTGTGCGATTGAAGGTATCTCTTGGGTTGAGACGCTCGTCGCACGGGGGTGGTCGTTTCGGAGTTGACTGGGCCCTCGTGAGAGGATGTTGATCAGCATTTCTCGATTTGCGGACCCAGGCACCGTTTGTGGTGGGACACGTCTCTCCAACTCCGGGATGAATGGCAGCGCGTCCTCGTATACGGATGGCAATTCCCGGGTTGAGACGCTTGTCGTTCCGGGGTGTCTACCTTCCTGCAAAATGGTCTTCGTTGGGTGTTTCCCGACTTTGGCCCATTCGACGAGCAAGTTAGTGGAGTATTTTATATACTATTGTGTGATGATTGGTTGCGCCTCGGTTCGGTGTGACCGTTGACCCTTGTGGGACGAGACGACTTTTCTAATGAGATGACGTCTTAGGGGATGCATGAGCGGTGTTAGACGACACCGCTTTGAGCCCTCAGGATAGTTGTGTCGCATAGCATCTTGGTACGAAACCTGACTTGACATGCGTCACGGGGTTCTGATGGTGTGCGACGTCGGATTCTGACATTGGTTGGGACGTGACGTGTGACATCGATGATGACTCATCTTAGGGACCAAAATATACCTTATCCCTATACTTCAAATAAATAAACTTAAAATGTAATAGAAACTATCACATACTAAAAAAAATAGGAATTTAGATGGGAGTCAGATCCCTTTCAAAAGTATATCTTTATTGGTTTATCATACCAAATATAAAAGCTTATATCGATTATATTATTTTTTAATACGCTTATGATGTTTTTGGTAATGACATTTATTGTGGGATGAATCTTCTATCATATATTTAAAATAAAATTGATTGATTTATAAGTTACTTTACATATGTCATAAATTGTCACATAATAAAATGGATTTAATTGGAAGTGAGGGACTTGAGGTGCAGAAAGAAAAATAAAACAAAAACCTAATATTTTAGAAGACAAATAAATAGTTATAAGCCATAAACAACTTCTCATCGAGCGTTTCTTGTCAGTTTTATACTTTACTGAAGGAGCATAAAAAGAAAAAGAAATAAAAAAATATGAATTACTATTTAATAAATAATCCTCATAGAAGATTTTAGAAAGATTAACCTATAAGATGAAAGCTTATTAATTCATAATATTATTCGAAGACATAATATATATTATTAAATTGATATAATTATGTATTTTTATTATTTTAACCTATAAAGAAGGATTAGAATATGGTAATATATCTAAAAAATAAATAAATAGATAAAATTTATTTTCTCACATTGTCTATTAGCAGGGCGAGCTAAAGACCGTAAGATGCGAGACCTTTATCATAATAAGAGTATTTCTACAATTCTGATAGTTATATTTTATTCTCTTTCTACATTACTACTTCAATTGTCTGAGAGACATTTCAGGAATTACAATTAAATGGGAGCGGAAATATGAAAAAAAAGGAAAAAACTAAAAAAAAATGAAAATTTCCATTCGGGATTACGTCAGCCAAATCGGTTTCTTATTCGGGTGACGAATTAGGCCCGGAACCGAAACCGGATCCGGATTCGGATTGGACCGGTGTTCGGACCCCGGACCTTTTCCTTCTCGCTGCTGGTTCCATCTGAGGACGCAAGACGGTGAGCGAGCGTGAACGGAAGGTTGGGGGGGTCGATGCTTATGGAGGGCGGGCCGGCGACTGCCGCAATACCTCTACGATCCACCGCAACGGTTGCTCCTCCTCGGTATTCGCTGCCGCCATGTCGGTTCTACGGCGAGGACGTGCTCTTCTGCGTGGACGTGGACGTGGAGTCCAAGGCCGAGATGGCGAAGGGCCGCGCCATCACCCGCCTCGACGCCATCAAGCAGGCCGTTCTCCTCTTCGTCCATACCAAGCTCTCCATGAACCCTGACCACCGCTTCGCTTTCTCCATCCTCGCCCAGTCCGTCTCCTGGGTTCGTCCTTTCTCTCCTCCTCCCACTTTGCCCCTTTCCCCTTTCTCTTTGTTTGGTTGATGCCGATGTTTCTTTTCCCTTCCGTTTACGGGGACGATCTGTTGTATGTGTCTGTGTTCGTAATTTTTGATTATTGGCGCCGATTTGGTGTAAGATCATGGGATTTAGGAGTTATTTTTTGGTCGGGGTGGGGGGAGTAATTGATGGAGGAAAATGATTCTTTTGGAGAGGGAGAGTGAAGATTGGCCACAGTTTCGTGATCGACAAGGCAAATTTAGGCAAGAGTGGGATCTTTTTTTTGCAGTTAAAGCAAGCACAACTATTATAAATGAAACTTCCCGATGCATGAACAATGTACTTTAAATGGACAATTGGAACCATTCTTGACGTCATGAAGATAATCAACCACTGGAGAACAGAGAGGATAATCAACCACTAGGTGCTGACAAGGTCTACCAATTTTGTCAGAGGAATCACTTATGCCCTATTTTCTACTGATTCCTTGTCGGAATTGTATGTACCCTTATTTCTTCTGTTGAAGTATGTGAGTTTTACTAAGATACATGATCAAACTCTACTTTTTCAGTTGATAGTTTAATAGATCATGCTCCAAAATCTTTCCTTTGGTTTGCTAGATGCAATTATGGACCTCCATTGTCTCTTTGCGAATGAATATCGTGAATTACAGTTCATATTTTGATATCGACATTGTGACGTGTTCCTATATCTCTTGCTTACAACTCTTCTTTTCTCTTTATTGCTTCACTTGGATCAATGATATATTCTCCTTTGCATATTCAATTTATGACTTGGAAAAAATTCATGGACCTATGTGAAGATCAAGAACTTTCGTGTTGTTCATGGCAAATGATGTGACCCGATTGTTTGGAGAAATGACAAGTTATTCTGTATGCCAGGGTAAAGTGGAATCTGTTACCATTGATTTTCTATCACTGAGAAGCAGAAACTGGCCTTATTTTATATCTTTTCCTCTTGCTAATCCACACCTTTCTTTCAGATTGTCATTGCTACTAAGGACCTCATTGCTACTGGCCATGTATTATATTTTTTCCTCTTGCTACTCCACACCTTTCTTTCAGACAGTCGCCCATTTTTTATTGCCTTAAGAAAGGTAGAGAAGGGAGTAATTAATTCATTTATATACAATATAAGAATTTCTCAAAAATTAAAGTGGAAGAAACAGGTGAGACTTGTTGGAAACTTTATGCATGGTTTACTATATGGTGGTTGGAAAGTTTGGATTACGTGATTTGCTTTGTGTGATTATCATTTAAATAAATATTGCCTTAATGATAGGAAATTGATGGTTTCTGAATCTTGATTGTGTTAAAGGTTCACTCCTTCCCTTCCATGGGCCTATCCTGATTTCACTTCACTGTTCTCTTTGACTGCTGATGCGATTTTTCTTGTCTTCCTTTTGAACAAGGAAAAATTATTGATATAAAGAGTGCATTAGGTGATAACTTTCTTTATGTTCAACTTATATTATAGAATTCTCAGGAGGAAATTCTCTTCCTTTTCATTTGGCCATAAATCAGTAAAATTTTCCTCAAGTTAGTCCAGATTTTGCAATAGAATATCATAGAGTAAGTTTTGTTTCAGAAAACGTTGCCTTTTTTTTTTGCTTCATGGAAGAATGCTATGATGCTACTTGAGTTTTCTTTACAACTTTACATTTTGTTAGGATTCAATGTATCATTAATTAATAAGCAGGTTGGTGAAATTGTTGCTTGCTATGGTTAGGAGGATTATATTGTAGAAGAGTTACTCATTTCCATCAATAAATCATGAATTACCATTGTTGGATTGTGCAGTGAATTACTGATACTAAATCTTGACTGTTTTGTGATGTTTGAAAGCTCCGAAAGGAATTTAGCAGTGAGGTTGATTCTGCTCTGTCAGCAGTTCGAGCAATAACTGCGGCTGACTCATCATATGGCCTTGCTGATATCACACAACTTTTTCGCATAGCAGCCCATGAAGCTAAAAAATCTCGTGCCCAGGGTCGTCTCTTCAGAGTGGTAAATCTGATTTTCTAAA